CGCCAGAATGCATTCACTCAATATCAACTGAGAGACTCTTTTAATAGCGAAGATTCAGAATAAAGAACTGTTAGACTTGTCACTTACTTCTCAGTAAGAAAAAAGCAACCAGAGCACAGGAGGCTGGAATCTCACAGAGTGTGGTTTTAAAATGTCGGGGTTTGTTCAAGGTAAGATGTAGAGTTATTTTATTTAGTAGGAAGTGCTGTTTTTTTTGGCTGAATCTGTCATCCTGTGGCTGTGATGACTGAGTGACTGTCACTGGAAGACATCTGGGTTTTTGTATCAAGGCCAGACTCGGCTATTACATTAACAAGAAAATTAAAACTTACTGTTGCAGGAGCTGGGGTGGGAGGTGGGGCATAAGATGGTCTTTCTGTTTGAAAGAAAATAAATAACTTCTTGTAAACAACTGAGATATAATACTATGCAACAAAACTACCAATGGTCCTGTTTTGAAGAAAAAAAAAATGAGAGTATTTTGGAATTCCCACTTGCTAGGGCATTAGTCTCTTATTAACATAGATTGATAAATAGAAAAATTGAAACTTACTTGACATTTTGGAAGATTAAGTTCTCAGTTCCTTAAGAATGAATCTGAGACACTAAAATAAAAAAAAGGAAAAAAAGGAAAAAAAAAGAGAATCAAAACTCAGCAAGCATAAAAGAATGTTTTCCTAAAGAATAGGGTAGTTTAACTGGTATTTCTGAGTAAAATTACGTTACTGTTCTCACTCATTATCAAGCCTTTGGCATATTTTAACTAGTTCTTGTAGGTCGTTTGATCAGAATTGAATGACTAACAAATTACTGGGGCTATTTAGAGTAATATTAGAAATGTAGTTGTACGTTTTTGCTTATGATAACTGTGCTATGTCTTATGTGGAAAACATTTTGCAGGTGCCATGTAAACGTTTACTCAGACTGATAAAAAAATAATGACAGTAGAATGTGATGTGTTACCAGAGGGACCCCAACAAGGCCTACCAGAAACTGACAGCTAGCTCCCGGGGCCAGCAGCTCTATCTTGCTCTTGGGATAACAATTTCTAGGCAAATAGAGCAGCGCTTTATCCCTGAAAACAGCAACGTGTAACTGGTCATAATAAACGTCACAGTCTCTTACACGGGCGCTGGAAATACATTTTGAGAGTTTCTCCGGAGAACTCTCATCCCTTCTTCCCAGCTCTTTTCAGAAGTTATTACCTCAGTGGCATTTTCTGCATAAACTGTTCCCTCATCTGTATTCCTATGTAGTTTGCACAGATCTACAATACTGATTCTTGGAATTTAAAAATTTGCCAGGGAACAGAGACCATCTAATTTATTACCGTCTTCCCAACACCTAGCTCAATTCTTAATAAATTTGGTCCCAGGAGTACCAGCTCACAACATGGACGCCTGCGAGCTTGCTCCTTGAGCAAGTAAGAATGCGCCACAAATGGGAAGGTGGAAAGAGACAAAAATTCGTTTGTACAAAGAAGGCAAATTTCTGCGACTACTGGAGTCCTTTCACCCAACATTATGCCAACGAGCATGCTTTTCTGCTTCTCTGCATTTTAAGCAAACTCCCTGGAGCACTAGGAATAATGAAAATACTGGCGTGGAAACAGTTTTTATTTTCTCAACGGTCCAACCTGGGTCTGCCCTCCTGGCTCGTTTGAGGGGAGCTGTCAACATCCGGTAGGCCTTGCTAGGGGGGAGCCGACAAAAACTGCCAGGAGCTCCCTGGAGCACACTCGATCCATTATACTTTCCCACCGCTGCTGTCCTGGGCTAGAGTACGAATTTGAACCCTGGGCCTGCACGATCGTCCACAGGGAGCGCCCCCGATGCCTGGCACACAGACTCCAGACACATTTGTGGCACGATTCATTACCTTGGACCGGATGCGCTTAGGGCACGCTCTGGCCCGCCCCAGGTCCCACGACCCCACAGCCCTACACTGCGGCCCACTTCACAGGCGATACCGGGGTCTCCGAGAGCTCGGGGAACTCGTCTGCAAGCCGCGCAGCCCGGAA